GATATATGATTATTAATCATTATCAATAAGACTAATATCATAAGAAAGATAAAACTGATTTTTTTCTGTTTTTTTTTTCTTTGTAAATGCAGCTAATTATCTAAACAGGGTAAGTATTGCCTACATTGGCATTTCAATGAGCCACCAATTCTTAATTACAATTACAATTACTGCAATAATTGTTACAATTTCAGGAGACTCTAAAAGGTGAAATGAGCAGTTTGTACTTACAGTTTTGTATAATGCATAAGAATTCACAAAGTTGAAATCTATGAAAAGAGTTTTAACAGCTCTGAAGTTAATATATGTAAACTAACTAAGACCTCCAAAGGAAAGAACCCATAAATCAAACTAATTTTCTTAAAAGCTATATTCAATGAAGATATCATTAGACATGGGTTCCAGCTACTTTTTAAATTTTGTTTTTTTTAATTAACACATCAAAATTATACATTATGTATAGGGTACAGGATGAAGTTTTGACACATGTAGACATTGGATAATGATCAGATAGTGGTATTTAACATATCCCAAACCTCAAATATKTATCATTTCTTTTTAGTGACAACATTTAGAATCCTCTCTTCTAGTTATTGAAATACACACCACAATATTTAAAATTATAGTTACCTTCCTGTAGTACAGTAGAATTTATTCCTACTGTCTAACTGTAATTTTGCATCTCTTGACCAGTCTTTCCCTATCTTCTCCTCATCCCTACTATGCCAGCCTCTGGTAAGCACTATTGGATTCTGCACTCCTATGAAATAATTTCAAGATCCAGTTTCATCTATGCCAAGAGCTCTATGACTGGGGCAAGTTACTCTACTCTTCCTGCAGAACAAGCACTTTGAACTTAGAAAATGCTACAGGCCTGCACAAACAGCAGATGATGTTAACATCATCTTGTTTGGCATCCCAAGTGACTGGTGAAGAAGTACATGCAAAAGTACAACAATGCATTAGCCAAAGCATAAAATGATGATGGAGGCAATATTCAGATGAATCAAGAACTTCCCCTCATAGAATAAAATCCTTTTATCATTACACACAAGTGACCTATATTCCAAATGGGACAAAAGAAAGAAGGGGGTGGGGATAAAAAATGCAAGAAGGGAGAAGCAAAAGGAGAGTGAGCAGTGATTTCCAAAGCTTATTTTCAAATACACCAAGAGTTTAGAAAGCAGGTAAATGTTCAGTCCAGAAAGAGATGCCTGAGTCAAATTTCCACTACCAACTAAACAAACTACTTCTCACAGTCAGCTCCAGATCCTGTCAGCTCTAGTAACCTCCTTGTTGGAAACTAGTGTTTCCACGTGTTTTAAATAATCTGATATACTAAAACCATGAGGGTAGCTGATCATACACAGATGTTCCCTATATCCAGGCAATAGGATGACAAAGATATTTAATGTTTTTTAGCTCCTAATAATTGTATATTTCAACCATGATGGTCCTCCTTGTTTCTCTTCGGATGGTCTTCTGAAGGTACCACCTCTAGTGTGGAAAGAAGAATTTGTAAACTTGCTCTCTGGTTCTGGAAAATGTTTGCTTTACTCCAACAGTATATGGCTGTTCAGTAACTGGAATCTTAATGAACAAGGATATATTTAGAATGTTGTGAATCAGAGGATTCTGGTTTCTTAAAAAAATTATTTTTATTACTCTGTGGCAAGAAGCCTCAGGAAAATAAAAAAAATGGGTACCTTACAGAATTAGAGAAAGAGTATTATAATATTCTGCATTTGAGTGAATGTAGGAAATAAATTTTGTTTGACCCTCAGAACAATTTTGTGAAGTAGACAAGTTTGACAGATTTAGAAGTAAGTAGTACATGACAACCAGTTAGGTTTAAATTTCAAAATGAACAACAACAAAAAAACTTTTTCCTAAAAATATGTTCCAAATATTGCATAAAACATACTTACACTAAATATTTCTTTGCTGTTTACCAGAAATTTAAATTTAACTGGGCATCCATTATTTTTTCTGGCAACCCTACAGAAAACTGACTCAGCTAAAGTGATAGGCCAACTCCTCTACGTTGTCACTGTCATGTTTAGATCTCCTTCAATATGTCTATGTCAGCTTCCAACTCAACTGTTTATAACCTTGATAATGTCTCTTAATGGTTTAGGTGGAGAGTGGGCTGGATATAGGTAAATTATTATAGTTGATAAGCACTGTTGCAGAAATGTCTGAATTGCATTTTCAAAGTACTTCTTGTCATATTATTTAATTGATCATGACACCTCCAGAAGTTAAACCAAGAAGTTATTTAGGCCCCTGTTTTTCCTATATGATGACTAAAACTCAAAGTTCAGGAGGTCTATCTAGCTAGTAGGGACATCCTTCCTGGAAGGCCAAGTCTCATATATAAAAATTCAACTATGGAGCATACTCTGTATTCTGTTCATCATTAATATAACAGATGATATTAATAGGGTGTTTCTAACCTTTGAATTAAGAGACAAGCAGGGATGAGCCACTTTACGTTAGTTTGGCTTACATCAAAATGATAAGAAAAGGAAGGATTGCCTATTAAGAAATTAAAAAAAAATAACTTCATTTAAAAAAGTATTTTAAACATGTTTAAATTGTTAAGTATACTGAAAATATGATGTGGTATAAACAGGTTATTCTGCTTTTAAAATTATAACATTGTCTTAGTGCTTTTAATAAAAAAGGTTGGTTCTATTTTGTCATTATCATCATAAAGAGCAACTCAGCAACAGAATCACTAAAACAGTTGGAACTGCATGAAATGTTTTCCATAGCAGTCAAGAGAGCCATTAAAAAAAAAAAAAAAAAAAAAAAAAAAAAAAAAAAAAAAACAACTTTCTCCAGCAAGTCAATGAGCCAAGCCTCACAGTCTTCTGGTGAGTTGATTTATCTGACAAACCCTGACTTAAAAACTACATATTGGGCACAGGATTGCTTTCACAGTGAATGCCCCAGAGGAAGACATGGATTCAGCCAAATTAAACATCTAATGATCCTTCTCAAGATGAAGAGAACAAATGTCAGCACATTTGAAAATACCTATTAGGGTTAAAAAAAAAAAAAGACAAAAACAAAGACTTCATCTCTCACTTAGTTTTTAAAATGAAAGAATTAKTGAATACGATATTTGTAAGTTTGAAAGTTAGCTGCTGTTTGTAAAACTACCCACCTTGCAGGATTCATTAGAGAACCTATCTTTCCTTGCACCTCTGGCTCTCTCCCCATGTTCACGGGTACTCTTTCTTGCCTCTCTTCAGCCTCTCCCTCTAGTAACACTTCTTTATCTCTCTTTCTCTGCATCATCCATTTCTCTGTGATCCTAAACTCTTGTTTTTTCATTATTATCCAAATTTTCTCTCACTTTTCTTTTTCTTCCTTTTCCCTCAACTTATTATATATGGAATTTTATACAAAGGTAATGTTTTTAAAATATTTAAAAATTACATAATACTGTTATGATTAAAAACATTCTCATATTTGTGTATTATTAGATAGAACATCAAGTATCTAATTCCTATATTTTAAAATTGTACTTGAAAATGCTTTATAAAACCTAATGTAATTTTAAGGATTATTATGTCAGGTTTATTATRTGYATGAGTACTGTTGCTTTTTTCCTTGATATGATCTTATAGACTAAAATTCACAATCTTGTGATATATAGTATTTGACATGTTAATAAAAGTACTTAAGAGTTTTAGAAGTATTTTACTAGAGCAAAAAATTATTTGTGTAATGGAAAATTCAATTGGGATAAAAACYTAGGTGATAATTTTCCCATATCAAGTATTAACACTAATGTTTTATTATAATTCATTTTTTCAATATCTAATACAAACTTGGCCTTTCCTGGTGCTCTGGATTTCCAAAATAAAGAATTRTTACCAGTCCTATGATCTGGCATTAGTAACCATGCAGACATTATAATGTTTTTAACTAATTTGAGAATTAAGTCTATACTATTATTTATTTTTATCATAATACAAAGTTATATATAGTTTAATTTTTTATTCATTCCTTTTTACTACTAAGTTACTTTGTACTGTCACTATTTACTATGAATAATTCAATTTGCTAAACATGTTTTTAAAAACTCATGTCTTAAAAATAATTCTATTTAAAGTCATATTGTGGCCATTGAATACCACATTCTCTAGTATCTCTCTGATAATTCAAGTCATGCCTTGGAGAAAGAAATGGCATTTTGTGTTTGTCAGCTCTTCTAAAGGTGAAGAAGTTAAAAATAACAACAGATATTTCACTTAAAGTGTTTTCAAAGGCTCTCAGGACATACTAGTTATTAATTTTTTATTTTGTTATAGGAAGTGCCATTTATTTCTTCTTAACCTCCATTATAAAAATAAAGAACATTATAAGATGGGGTTTATTTTTCATTTTAATTTATAAAATACATTCATCTTCACCAAGTACATATGATTATGTACTTAAGATGCCTTCAAAATTAATACAAACTGACACATAAGAGAGCTCTGTTTTCCTTGTGATTTTATCTTATTTCTTCTTCACATTCACAAATTCACTGATTCAAGACAAATACTAACACTATTGTTATGAAATTTCAAGTGTAGACCAAAAACCTGGAAAGAGATATTCAAATAGTGTCTAAAAAGTCTATTCATTTCTTTAATGTGACTGACAAATCTATGCTAAGCATTTGGATTCCTACCTCTTATTTTAGGATTCATGGTAGCCTCCTGTGCCAGGTACAGACCTAAGAATACCTCCTCATTGTCTCACTGCAGCCTGACCCAGCCCAGGTATCAAGTGCTACAGTCATTTCTCAGAGGTGCTTCATTTCAAAATGATTTCGATCAACATAGAGTCATGTAAAACAATTTAGAGCTATGTGAAGATAATTTTTTTGTTGTTGTATAAAACTGGTGGGATATCAATATAGGAGAAGGTAACAGAGTGTTCACAAGAAATGTTGAAGGAGATACTTACATTTTCATCTGATTGAATCACTAAGCACTTACCTGGATAATATCGGGCCAGGCCTGTAGCACTGCCAAACACCTGCCACAGCAATGAAGGGTCTTCCTCCCGATTTTTTTTGAAAACTTCATCTAAGGCACTTGTCCAGTTGAGTTCATTTAACACTATTGTTGCTACAAGATAAATAAATAAATATATTTTAAAACTTATAATTAAAAACTGAATCTGACTTCATTTATTTACAAATATTACACATTCTCATTGCTTTACCTGTAAAACTTTTCTAAATCAGTGGTTATCTTAAGTTTTAGACAGAATTATTTCTTCAGTTAAAATGTGATATGAAGTGGTCCTGCTGACATTTAGACTGGATATCTCTGTTGTAGGYGTGACCCATGCACTGTAGAATGTTTAGCAGCATCTCTTGCCCCTGCCTATGGGATAGAAGCACCATTCTCTGAAGAGACAAACAAAAGGGCTTCCAGATGTGGTCAAATCACCCCTGGAAGCAACATTGCTCTTGACTGAGCACTACTCTGCTCTACCCGCTTGAGCAACAAGACAGGAGGGCTAGGTGACATTCCTCCTAATCCTCAAGACAAGTTGGAAGACACCTGCAAAGTTCTTCTGCAGTTTGAAGACCTCAGCCCTTCACTACTGATGGTGCCTTGTGGTATACTAACATAAATTAGCCTTCAGAGTTTAAAAAAAAATTGTCATTGAGCATTGCTTTCTAACTGTAGTTACAAAACAACAAAAAGGCATAGTTTTATAAAGGAAAATGTCATTCAGAGATTTGACCACATCAGTATTAAAAAATATGAACTCGGGCTGGGGATGTGGCTCAAGCAGTAGAGTGCTCGCCTGGCATGTGTGCGACCGGGGTTCCATCCTCAGCACCACATACAAACAAAGATGTTGTGTCCACCGAAAAACTAAAAAAGAAATATTTAAAAAAAAATCTCTCTCTCTCTCTCTCTCTCTCTCTCTCTCTCTCTCTCTCTCTTAAAAAAAAAGAAAATATGAACTAGTTGTTACTTTATTACTAACTTTATAAACAATAGTTTTGATTTCTCCTTTATTTTCCTGGTTATTCAATTAATTATAGTATGGGGCTAATAAGGACCAGGCATCTTTTGATGCCTATTTAATAACTTCTCAGTAATCTTGGATAGGTATTATAAGTATATCATGCATTACAATGAAAGTCATTTAGATGTGGGATGTGAGTTAAAATACTATATAATTTATAAATATGGGTCTCTGTGATCATCGCATACTAACATATTAAAAGTTTAGTTGGCATAGAATGTAATTTTCCCTGTACACAAAAGATTGCATATATAATGTCATGTCTTTATATGTAAAATATGTATCATTCTTCCAGCAGGTTAGCAGATTGGGCCACATTGCTTTTAGAAACTCTGATCAGGCCTCAATAGTGGAAATATGCTGAGGATAAGGATGGGAGACATTGTTTTACTTTATTCTTTTCTACATCCAGAGAAAATAAAGCCAACAAAGCAATCAGTTAAATCATGCACAAGCTTTTGCAAAGGTAAAAGAAAAAAGACCTTTTGTCAAGAAAGATGCATAGCATATGTGTTTATATTTTAAAGTTTGTGTCATTTACAAAAATGAAAGAAAGGAAACAACAAAAACAASGGAATTGTAACATTGTTCTGGGACCAGCATCCTGATGTGATTCTCATTATTGAAAAATAACAAGATTTTCATCTTTATGGATGTGATTACTTTCAGAAAGATCAGTTGTGTGTGTGTGAATATTCATGAGCTGAGTCAGATCCACAGTGCATCTGAGATACTAGAAAATTCATATTCAAGAGCATGATCCAATGAACACTAAGTGGCCAGTTATTCGAAAATTTACATTCACATAGATAACCTGAACTGATACTCCCTATTCATGAATATTTATTTTAATATACAAAACATCTCAGAAAGACAGAAATCATAACTTTTTAACATTCATGACTTGTTATTACAAGTCATGTTATTTTACCGCACAAATAGTATTTATTTATAATACAGACAGACTTCATTAATCCCCATCTCTTCTATCTCTTCAATTTCCTTGTCTTTTTAATTCATATCAAGCAACAAACTGGCATCTCATTATTTTTAATAAAGTTTTATTTGTTTACAAGGCTGCTGATTTTTTACTTAGTTTCATTTGATAGCTTAACAATTATTAAGTATTAGGCACTGACACAGTAATTGTGAGTTCTACTATTATGTATTGGCAAAAACAGACAAGCTCTAAAATTTTCGTATCACCATGGCAATATATTTTGTAATTCTGAGATTATACATTTGAAAATTCATTTACAAACAAGCCACTTGTAAGGTAAATTTTAAATGCTTTTCTCAAAAATACATTCATCTACAAATGGACAAAGGACGTAACAAATGTACAGACTARGTACTTGTGCAGATTTTAAGGTTTATTCAAAATGAAAGAGAKAGCATTATATGCCTATCATATCAGCAAGATTTATAAACTTAGTGTGTAATGAGAGGTAAGGACATAGTCACAACCTTTTGTCAGTGTGTATTTACAAAAACTTTCAAATGCAACCATTAATTTATTGGTCACAATCTTTATTTGAACATTTAAAGTCAGAAAACAAAATACAAAGAATCTGCCATGGGAATATAAAACTAGTGAAACCTTTTTAGAGGTCAGTTTGACTATACCTATCAAAATGTACACTCTTTAATCCAACAATTCTACTTTAAGGGATATAAACTTGGGAGAGAGTATGCTCTGCAGTCTTTAATCAAAGAAACACATTTCCTCAGATTATGGAAAGCAGCTAAAAGTRTCAAAGAAAATATATAAATTATCAAACAAATAAGCAAGTAAAATGATGTTATTTTGGACCCTTGGTTACTTAGCTGCATTTTCTTAAACCAGATTATGAGTTAACATGAAAAAATATACACGATTTTCACAACCTGAAATTAACAGACTTTTCTTAAATACTATAAAATTAAAGAACTCAACCAGAATTTCTAAGGAGGCTGACATTTCTGTCGCTGAGGTACAAGCATGCTCAAGATAAAGCAGTGCTGAGATCACTGAATACTCAGCAGATGATGGAATGAAAAGCTAAAACACAACATTGTCCACGCTAAAGCTCSTTTGTCCTTCCCTGGATGTGAACTGTTGTCCCTGTAATTTCGTTATGTCTGTACACATACAACCAATCTCTCCCCTTCTTCCTCTCTAAATTTGTAAATAGGTTTTATATAGGAAGGTTTTGTGATAAAGTGATTCTGGTTAAAACTGGGGAAAAATCCAAGTGTGTTAGTTAAAAATTGTAAAATTTAAGAAACCCCAAATAAATTATTTTTCTAAATAATTTCAAGTATTTCTTGTYCACAAATAAAACATCCTCTTTTGCTAGGACAGATATATTTAATAATATTGATTCTATTTCTGGCTCATTATCTATGAATTGTTGAGGATTATTTGAAATTACATTGTATTTGATATTTTTAATAATATCTTGTATATGACATTGTGTTTTACTGTATATTATATATATACTGTATATATATATATATACACTGTATATTATATCTGCTTTTTTTCTTCCTCATCCTAGACAAATAGTGATGTTTTACATCCATACAAACTTGTTTGAACTGATATTAGAAGTATGAGTGTCTTTTTTACTACAGAAGACTAAACCATCAATGGGAACCTAGCCTTGAACCTACTGACACCAATCAACTTAGCTAAGTATCTTATGGCTATATTAAGAGTAAAATTAGAACTCATTTTCTGTTACCTTTTATAAAATGAATATCTTTATCTGTTAAAAGTTGTATTTTGCAAAAAAAAAAAAAAATAAGTCTTTTATAATGCTCAAGGCCAAACCTACTAAAAGCAGAGAATACTTAGAAAGCAAAYCTTGACTTAAGGGCCTCTATGCTGAATAGCATCATAGGATTTCACTGATAATTGATTCAAAATGCCAAGCATACAGCTCTTTTCTTCATCTACTTGGCTTTCAAAAACATGGCCTTGGTGTTCAGCAATCCTCCTTTAAGAGTATTTTATTGTTCAGTCTGGCTTCTCAAGGGAAGAAAGAGAAATCCAATTTGTAACAGCACAAAAGAAGTACCTTACATTTTCTGTTAGTTCTTCCAAAAGTACGTGACTCTTCTATCCATGCCTTGTTTGTGACATGGAATACAGAATCATTGAGAAGCTCTGAATTTAATTTTCTTCTGCAAACTTCAACCAAAAAAAAAAAAAAGATGCATTATTCCTCCCTTTGAAGTTTGAATTGGCTGAATGTATTCTGTTGCTTTATTCAGGGTTCAAGTCCTCACTATGCACTGAAGGTACTATATGGCAGTTTGAAAAACCTCAACATCATACATACTGTCCACAACAGCTTTCTATTTTTAAGTTTTATTGAAATATCATTGACATAAATTATTTCATATTGACATATTAAAATGTAAAACTTGATGTTTTGATATACATACACATTGTGAAATAATTATCACAAGCTACTTACCTTATCTATTACCTCTAAGCAGCTAACACTGTGTGTATTTGTTTGTGTGTATTGAGGAGATTTAAAATCTATTCTGTTAGTAAATAGCAAATTTATAATAGAGTATTATTAGTAGAGTATTTGTCTTCAATCTGCCATACCTTAGGTCTCAGTTGAATCACTCATTTTACATAATAAATTTTGTACCCTTAACTACAGCTTTCTAATGAAATTCTAGAGAAAAATATATTTGTTGTAATTTATTTAAAATGTAAATAACTTTGATAAAACTTTTATTAAAATTGTAGCTACTAAAGCTGTGGAACTATATACCAAAATTATTTTTGTTTAACAATGCCTAATATAAAGTAAAATAAGCAAAACAAGAAAACCAGGCACAGCACTTACTACGCTAGTTTCACTTAACTAATAATACTACTCTGCTTTTATAAAAATTAGCATATGTTATTTAAATTATTGCTACTATTAAGAAATAAAGTCAGCATAATATTAAACACTTACCGAATTACCATTTTCTATGCATTATCTCATTCAACTTTTAGAATAACGCTTTGAATATAATAGTAATATTACCACTTTTGATTAAAAAAGTAAATCCTCAAAAGGTTATTCAAATA